TAGTGAGAAATATTCTCAAATCTAAGGTTTCTGAACGCGAAGATTAGTAGTTGAACTGTTGTTCTGTGCGTGTTGTGTGAATAGGCAGAAGCGAGGTAGGGAGATATCAGGAGGGGCTGGTACGGACCTTCCGTCCACGTTACGGCGAAGCGCGTAAAGTGGCAAAGTGGTTCCCGACTAGCTGACTGGACATGCCGCAGTATTTCCACGTTAAATCAATTAGGTCGTGGTGCGGGTGCTCGCACGTGACGCCGCTTGCAACGCTGCCTTCGTTGCAAAGTCTCAGTGTGAACCTAAGGTCACTCATACCAGGAGAGACAGAGGTAGCAAGTGACATACGTGTGATCGATCACCAGATGTAATCGGTACTTGCAAACATCACCACCCGAGAAACTTCTTGATTAATCAGTAAGACCTCATCCTCAGTACAGTCTTGTTTTCTGCGGATTCTGGGGCGTGTCAGAGAACTGGGTTTGGCCCGGCGCTAGACTGTTTTCCATCCAATGGTTGTAAATTTACTCGCTTCATATTGTGAGTGACAACTGACAGGTGCCGCGCCAAGTCCAGCCTCTTTGGCACGCTCCAGCACCCGCAGTGAACAAGATGTTACCTTGGGAACCTTCACCGTAATGTGGATCGAATCTTAGTCTAGACCTCAAGCATCACAGGAAACAAATGCCACCTGGACCCATAGGTTGCTGTATGGCTGCTTAATTTTGAGAAATAAGCAGCTTTGTGAAATTTTTAGAAACGTATTTGGGGTAATTAATGAGCATTTTTGCGGATCCGAGAATACATCGTGTTACCCAACACCCAAGGGCGAATCGATACCCAACACCCAAGGGCGAATCGAAAGTTAAGGGGGGGGGGACTGGCTGGGGACAAGTTAAGTACTGGGAGGCCCGGATCCTTCGCTTAAGGGTGTTTTTGAACTTGGATAACAGTATAGTTTCACAGATGACTTCAACTGGCCGCTTACGTACGATGCGATGTGAGTTGGGTTATGTACGTAGAGCCGATGGCTCCTGCTCCTACTCACAAGGAAGAACTTCACTTTGGGCAAGTTGTTCGGGACCAGGTAGGTTCATTGTGGATTTATAAAAAGATTTATAAAATCTAGATGTACAGCCTGGTCACTAACACATTTAGAGGGTCAGACATGAAAGGGAATTGCATGCCAAAGGGCCATCGTAACAGTCTGACTAGACGAGTGTAACCATTTTTTACGATAACGGTCAAGATCGTCGCCTGGTAAGCCTTGATAGTGCGAGGTAAAGGGAATGAGGAGGAGAAAGGGCGTAGAACCAGAAAAATCGTCTGTTCTGGTATAGTTAAAAAGGACCTTATAAGGACGCATTCTTAAACCATGCAGTAATCGACATCTCGGTAGAAATATATTTTTGAACGATTTACTGCGGTCTATGCAGCAAATCAAGTAAGGTGGAGCATTCGGTGCAGACCATTGTACCCAAAGATCACGGCAGACATTTTCACTTTACATAAGGAAATTTGTAATACGAGGCGAAAAAAACGATCGTGATCTGAAGAGGGTGAGGGTGATTGCTCAGGCTTGTAGATTCCCGCTTGGCTCCTCTCACCGAACAGATCTATCTTCGCTCCTATTCGTGTGTTCTTAGGTGACATTCATATTGCTCGTCGTGAAGATGAACAAATGCACCTCGATGTGAGTTTCCGCCAACTCACAGGAGATTGTCAATATCATCAGGTGTGTTGCCAGTTTTTTTAGTTCCGAAAACATCTATTATATTTAGTTGCCCGAAATCCGCTTATGTGCCTTT